CTCTCTCTCTCTCTCTCTCTCTCTCTCTCTCTCTCTCTCTCTCTCTCATTAATGAATAAGGATAATAATAATAATAATAATAATTAGAATAAAACATATGCTAGTTACATTAATTAACTGACAACAAGAGCTAGCGAAAGCAAGTATTCGGTAAGAGTTACATTTCAAACAAATTGTCTTAGAACTACGTGGATCATTACAATTGTAATTGTCCAATAAGTTCAGATTGCCCATGTTCAGGTTGAGTTTCATGATAGTCGACGGACCTTTACCACACAGCGGCCATGTTTATTCTCGTGAGAATAAACATCTTTGTTTAACCCGCATGCATTAATTTATTCTCAATTGATCGAATGCGAGGCCACGAGTGGTGGGGAATCTTTGTGCAAACCAACATGGTTGCCGGGTAAAAAAAGCTCATTTATAACGAACAACGTTCATATCCAAGTATGCGGTCGAAGGAATTCGAGTTCATACCTGAGACCAATGTACATAGGTTTTATAACAATAAAACGCCACGGCACGGCATCGGGCACCGCCATAACTTGCTTCACGGAATCTACAATTTACAGCTTGCACGGTCTTTTTCTTTCAAGAAGTGTTTGGACACGGCACAGTCACGATCACGGTACAGTTTTATTTTTTAAGCTTCTTGATTTCTTGTCCGAGCATGCGATGCCCTATCTCGTGTTTGAGGCCTCCGGATCCCTGGATTACCCGCAAACATATAGAGTTCCTCGTTGCGAACATTCTCCTGTTTTCCACCTTCTTCGGTTTCCTTTATCTACAAATAATTGGACTTTTCGCGTTTGTATTATACGATAATGATTTTTATTGTTTTGTATCGGCTTGGCTTTCAGAAACATGTGTCGCTATCAATTTCATCAACAAAGCACCAATACCTTTCTACATCGAATCGGATATTAAACACGAGCCATACCTCGTCGATGGAGGAGATTTTAAACTCAGAACAACAATCAAGAATCCAAACTTACACCGACATGTGATGTTCAAGGGCAGAGATCCCAGCGGCAAGAACAGTATTCTGTTATCAGGAGCAAGTAGCATCATAGTAGAACCCAAAACAAGCTGTAAAAATGAGGATTTCCATGACGTAACCGTGACGTCAAGACCAGGTATGGGTGAATCTGTTACATAATTTTTTGTTTGTTTTCCTTTCCTCTTTCACTGATTTCTCACGTCTTAGAACTTGAATTTGAATTGAAGAACAAAGACGAAACGGCCTCATAACGATGGCGTTCTTTCCGAGACACTTAAAAGGATTTTTGTGCGTCCTCATGCACAACAAAAGCCAAAAATCTGAAATGAAAAGCTTTATGGAAGCACCTCGATATAGGGCTTTTAAGTTGTGACGTATTTCCGGAAAAGAAAAAAGAAAAATGTATGTAGAAGTAATTACTAATTTTGGACCCGGAAGTCGTTTTTCGTTCGAATTACGTCACACTTAACAGATCGATTAGTTGGAAGACAAAGTTTCACGTTGACTATAGCAGAAATGTTAAACTTTCGATTTTATATCTAATTATTTTTCTCCTATTTCAAATGTCATGAGCTGAAATCATCCACATCCCAAGGTGCTCTTTTCATTTCCATTTTGACAAAATTGCTGTCTTAAGGAGGTTGGCTCACGTGAACTGCCAGTGCAAGTCGTCCATTTTCACGTGTAACACATTCTGGTCGAGCCGGAAACTTAGCTTGCAGAAGGGAAGCGAATTGAAAGGCACGTGCTCCACTCGTGTCGTCGTCGTGATTTGCTTCTTCTTTGTAGTATCCGTTGTCAACGCTTCACAATGAAAAGCATATTTTTTAATTTTTCCTTTTTCCAGAACTGTTATCTCAAAAACCGACTGAAAGTCCGGAAGAAAAGCAAAACAAAACACAAGGTAAACTCAATAATCGTCAAATTCAATATGCATGGCTCCAAACTGGAAAGGCTTGGAGGTCCACTAAATATAATATCTCTTCTTTTTGCACCTTTTTACGTTAAAAATACGCGGATCACAATGAAGTCGAAATAGCCTTGTCACGAAAAAGTCACCAAAACAAAAGTAAAGACATAGACGGTGATATCAAGAAGTCAGCTCACTAGCGTATTAAAGTACGGCCAGTGAGCTGACTCCTTGATACAAGCCATGCTTGTGTTATTAGGCTCAGGTCAAACGTCGAACTTAATGACATCAAAGAAGACCGCCTTGTTATCCATTGTTTCCATTTGGTTCGGCTCTTGTGAAGTTTGACGTTCGACCTGAGTCTTAGTGTACCGCCAACACGGTTGCCATGTATCTCGTACAATTTTTTGTCATCAACATGAACCCAGTATGTTTTTAATATTTGTAGTTTGATCTTATTAACCGAGCGGGAGGTCTGTACGGGATAATCTTGAGCGAGGTCTGTACCCGACCTCGGTCAAGATTATCCCTTACAGACCGACCAAGCTCGGTTGATAAGAGTTTTATTATATGACCACTTTTCATAGAAAAGGACACAATGTTTTCGCCGCAAGATTAATATGCSATCGGACCGGTTAATACCGGAGAATCTAGACCAGTCCGCGATGCGATCTATCCAATCAGATTGCTCGATTTGCTAGTGTCCAGGCTCTAAGATTCACGGTCATATAATAAAAACGGTTATAAAGCAAATGTGGTCAATTTAGGATGACTTACTTAGCTTCTTTTGTTTTTCAGGGCCTCCAGCACACTACCATTACCACTACCACAATCCTCCTCCATCACCACCACCACCACCACCACCAGGTACGTATCTTATTCCATGTTTTTCTTCGTCCGTCGACAATCTTTGACTGTAAACCCTGGTGTTAACTTGCGGAATAATCGGATCAGAGTCTGAATCGGAGTTGGAAACATTAAGACGGAGTGAAATTTAGGAAAATGTGTCGGATATTATCGGAGTCGGGATCGGAAGAGCGTCGGGATCGGAAGTTTTCCTTTCTTTGACTTATGACGACCGACCAGTTTTTACCTGCAGTTTTAATCTTGAACTATTCCGACTCTGATTACGTCGCCAGCTAAAACCAGGCTTTTAAAAGCATGTTTAAGGTCGGATATTAAAGTTGTTAGTCGTGAATATATGTAATCTGTGATTTACTTGTTTGCCAGTGTGTCCATCAACTTGCTCGACTACGCAATTGTGCCCACCAACCTGCCCCCAGCAGTGCTGTARAAAGGATGAAGTCCATTATATAGAAGCCAAGTCCGTCATCTCCAAGTTAAAAGCGAAGAAAAAATGTAACTCTCACTGCAAACGACGATGCAATTTAACTAAAGCAGCAGGAAACTTAAGAAATGACTGTCCCTGCAAAACGTACTGTGAAAAAGTTCTTTAACTTCATAGATATTTGCGTGCATCGTTCACTGGGTTTTTAGACCGATGTTTTTGGACGATGCAAGATCATAAATAAATATTTAAGATAATCCTTTATTTACCTTTCTATATCCAAAATGAGTTTGGTTGACTTATTAATAAAGCATTCGAACGAAATGCTGCTTTTGAAAATCATATTTTGGAACTTTTAATGAAGGCATTGCTGGAATAACTATCACTTTATCTTGAAGCAATTTGCTTGGTTACTTTCGATGAAAAGAGGGTGTTTCTTTAGAACAACAACGTCGATTGGTACCATTTTTTCGTCGGTATATAACAACATAGCTGATGTGATGGTTCTTTGCCGGCAGCATATAACATAAAAAAGAATTGGCCCAAAAATAAACGGATATGATTGTTCCTTGTGCGCTAAGAGTTTTCCAGTCGGTCGTGTCTGTTAGTCTGTTTGTTTGTCGATTTTCGTCTTTGAGTCAAAGTACTGTTTCCACTCCTCAACGTAACTCTGAAAGCGTAAAATTTGGCATATTTTTAGGCCAGTTTGTCACGATTTTGATGAGGTTTTACAAAACGTGCGGAAACACCATACCATAGATGATTCTACCGGCTACAGTACAAGCATTACTTGCGATCAGAAGAAATCGGAACGAGTTTTTTGTAAAAAAGATAGACAGTGCAACATTTCTGACTTAAAATAACGTTTCATCAAGTGTCTAAATATATCTATATGATTGGTCACAGCTCATACCTTTTGTAGTTGATCAACTAAGGAAGGATCGATCTGCCTTAACGCATTTCGTAGGAATAATATGTAATAAACAGTCATGTGGAAGGCGCCTGCTTTGTCCATTCCCGAGTGCATGCAAGGAAGCACTTCTTTAAAGAATTCGGCAGCCTTTGCGATACGAATCCTAAGTACAAGAAAATTAAAAAGAATCAGTTTTTTCTTTTTTTTTTCTTTCTGATTGGCCAACGAATGCAGTGCAATTTAATTAGATATCTTATCTTACTTTGCAATTGGCCAAGTAATGCAGTAACTGGCCAAGTAATGCAGTACAATTTATTTAGATCTATTTATTCGCTTCCTTACTAACAGTGCACCACCACCATGGTTCTTGCATCATAACAAGATATTTTTTCATGTCACGTCAAAATAAAATAGGGATATTTTTTAGGGATGCTGTGCAATTTAGAGCTTTTATAAATAGCCAATCTAGAGCTGAGTTTCACGTTACTCTACCTTCTGTGTCTCTCCTTAGCGTTGTGACGATCCGATGCTTTGACTTTTGGATCAAACGCCATTCCTTCAATTTGTTCATCTAGGTTCAAAAAGTATGGGCGCGCCTGTATGACGGACAGAGGGTTTTTATCCACCCCGTCTTCTTCCTTAGCAATACCCCTGTTAGATGCCCCCTGCATTTGATCCCCTTCGATCTTTGTCCGTTTAGGCAATCTTTCTCCAAGATCAGTGCTTTAAGACCAAAAAATAATAGTTATGATTATTTAATTAAATACATTATACTGCAATATCCAACTCAATTGTTCAAAAGCAAATGTAGAAGAGAGATAATAAAACTTTTCTTTTCCTATTTTTCTTTTTGTTTTTCTCTTTATTCCTTCCTTTATTTCCTTTTCTTTTTTTATTCTAATTTCTTCCTTTCTTTCTTCGTTTGTTTCATTCTTTCTTTCACTTTTCTTTCTTTCAAATTTCCCACCCTTTTCCTTATTCCTTCCATCCTCCCATTTGGCTTTCCCAAACAAACCTTTGACCAAGGTAAACAGCCTCTTTTTCATCCTCTTTAGCACCATCTCCTTTAGATCCTGGACAAAGACACTCCAGGAAATTCTGAAACCCAGGCAACTTTTCACTGCTATTCGAGTCATTAGACGCTGCTGTGTCACATGTTACACTTGTTATCGTTGTGACATCATTAGTGCTATCTGGTACCGTATATTGTACGTTAAYCATACTGGGCTCGCTTTGTCCCGATACTAGCTCAGATTTGGCTCCTTGACATATGTTGAATGCAGGTATAGTCAGAGGTTGACCTACCAAGTGAGGTAAGATTTGGTTACGATTTGGACTAAAGTCCACTATTCTTGGCATCATGTAGCCTTCTGATGGTATAATACTGTATGGGGAGCTGCCAGGTAGCAGGCTAGTGTAGGGTACTACCATTGGATGGATCAATGTGAAGGGTTGCAGAGGAAATGAAGACAAGAACTCCCCTGATTGGTTGGTTGGTAAATATGGTGAGGCTGCTACAGAACATGGCTCTGATTGGCTGGCTGATGTATATAGCTGATGTGATTGGCTGAACGCTACGCTATTACTTGGTTCAGTCTGTTCCGCTTTGTTGTGCTGCAAAGTACCAGATCCGTTCCACTGTTGGGCAGTATTCTGAGACCCAGTAGTCAAAACGATCTCGTTAGCTGAAGAAGTCAAATGCAAATTCATTATTCTTGGGGTGTTTTTTGTCGTCCTTTTTTCTCTCATGAAAAAGGTGCGTGACACCAATATGGCTAACATGGCAATAATAATTTGTATGTGGTTAAATAAAATATTTAAGCAAAGTTAGACTTGAACTAAGTTGCCTGTTATCGCAAGTATCTGTCATCAAAAGGCTATAGCTTCGCGGCCATCTGATAAGCAAATTAATGTCTCACGCAATGAGATGAATGATGAACAGATGGTATCTGGGGACGAAGCTTGCATCGGGTGCTAT